ATCATAATCCTCCATGTATTTGTTATTAGCTCTAGCATAACGATTACTACATTGAGATACACCACCTCTGATACCTGATCTAATAAATGCAATTTTCTCATAATCTGTTAAAAGTTCTAATTCTATTTTTGTATATTTTAACATTGCATCCCAACTTAAACCGGGTGCTGTGTAATAATGGACAGGGTCTAAATCATATGTATTAATACATAACTTTCTAAAGTTTTCAAATACATCGGATAAAAGTAAAACGTCTGTTTTTAAATACAGGTTTGAATAATCTAGCATATTACAACACCCAAAATGTTCCCAAACATCTTTAGCATGATTGTAATCATCATTTGAAATATGTGAATCTGTGAGTGAACTATAAAAACATTTTTGTTCAGGGAGCGATGTTAGACTTAAACTATCATAATTAGTCATAAGTTCATATGGATAAACACCTTTCCGTTTTAAACGAAAGAAATCTTCATCATTAGGGTAATTTCTACGTAATTCTTGAAATTGATCATTACTGAGATTTTTGGCCAATTCTTCTAATTTACACGATAAAAACTTAAATGAATCTAAGAATCTCAATATAATTTCGTGGTTATTCACTTTTAATTTTTTGGAAAAGGATATATATTTTTCTTTATTTTGAGGGATAACTTCGACTTCACCATCACAAAAGTTTAACGCGTGAACAATAAAATGAGCATCATAGTGACTAAGGTTGTGTAAAAATATTGGTATATAACGAGGTGTTCTGATCTTCGAACAACATGATTCATGAGCAACACCTATAAAACTACCAGTGTACCAATCAAAATCATAAAAATGTTTTGCCAACTCAGTTTCACAAATATGACAAATGGTTGCATTTGAAATTTGGTTTTTGTCTTCATTTGTTAGCGGAAGTGGTGGATATTTTTGAAGTCTATTTATTTCTTTTAGATTGTTAGATAAACTTTCCATAAACACTTGTGCACAGTTGGGTCCGCAATATGTTACATATTTTGATAATTTATCATCATATGAACATTTTATATAATATCCAAAACTATGTACTTCATGTTTCTGAATATTACGAGTGAAAGGTTTGGAAGGATCGTTAGAACATGATTCTATTGGTTTTAAAAATGCTTCAAAATCAGCATAAACTACGAATGGTATCTTTAACTTTTTTTCATAACTATCAAATTTAATTTTATCATTTGAAATAGGTTGACCAAACCAATTCTTTTTTTTTAAAGTTTCACTGTTTGGTAATACTGTACAAATGTGGGCACAATCGTATTGTTCATGGTTATTTAACCTTTCCTGAGATGGAAAACGAAGTAGACATGCTTCACAAATGTACATGATGTGACCGTCTTTTGAAATTTGTTTACTAACTAACCGCGATAAATTTTTTATATAGCAATAATGATTTTTTGTATCCTTGGAAAAAAATAATAAATTGATATGTCTATCTTTACGACACTTTGTTAAAAATAATGGACCTACTATAGAATTACATCGTTTTTCTTTATTATATTCTAACCCAAAAACATTAATACTAATATCATTTAATTTCTCTACTTTTGCTATGTCAGAAATTTTAACCGGAAAGGAAATACCATCAAATTTAAGTTTATTTGCATGTTTAACGTACGATGATACCCGATCGGTGTGTTTGTTTACAGGATATAACGCCGAGAGTAACGCCCATTTAAAACAAAAATAATCCTTGTTTTTTTACATTTATAACAGCCTTTTTTAATTTTATGTCACGAGGAAGATCTATGTATGAAGTACCGCGTAGGGGGTTAAATTTATTAACATTCATGTCTATAGATTTTATGTTTTTTAGACTCCATCCACTATCTTTTTTTTCGAAAGCACTAATTTTAGTAGTAATTGTATCATTTAAAGATGAAAGAAAAATATTTAAGTCATCTCCTTGACAAATAATATAGTTAAGCGTTTGAAAATCGAACGTATCATGAATATCTTTAGTTTGTTGAACAAAATCAGCATGCAATATGAAGTTTACCTTAAAAATTATGTGTTGATGAATACACTCTTGTAATAAAAATAAAATATCATCTTTAATAGAATTTAAAAATAGTTCAGGAGTTTCAAAATTTACCCATGTCGAACGATCTACTCTACTCTTGATTTTATAAGTTAAAATCCTATTTCCAAAAGCAGATTCAATAACACTAACGTTTGATAAAGAATTATGTGAATTTAAAAGATTATTTTTATGAACATTACTTTTAAAATGATTAGCTAAATACCGTTTCTTGATAAATATATGGCACGTTGGACATTCCACTTGATCATCGTTACTGATACTGTTCCCTGCAGAGGTATGCGCTTCTGCTTCCGTTGTTGGTTTTTTGATGATCTTGGATTCTTTGCTGCACGTTCGCTTCGTTCCTCTTCCAAGTTGTAGTGGTTGACTGCTAAAATGTTTAAATTTATTAAAAACTGTATAAGACAATATGTAAATTATGATCGAAATGAATGTTTATTTTATATACTTAAACTGTGTTTCAACCATCGCACAGTGATGATACAACTCATCATCGTATGACGAATCGAACAGTTGACCCCTCTCCATTTCTTCACAAACTTTAGACAACTCCTGATTTAATTCGCTATTGAATAGTTCCGTATTCTCTTCCATGATTGTGGAGAAAAAAGCACTGGTGCACACTTCACTGAAGTTTTCCCTTCCTCTTTTTTATTTTTGATTCAGCTTCAAAAAAATGATCAATCGATTGCGATTTTCTTTTTCCACCATCGCATGTGTTATTATTAATGACGAGGTTATCACTCTCTTCTTGAGGGGAGAGTGGCGAGTAGTAATACTGTTTATAGGTATCTTCATCGAAGCTCAATGATTTCTGCAACAACACAGTTATCATGTTAATATCAATTTGTTAACACTTAATCATAAAAGTTAAAAAAGTTAAAGTTACAGCCTATTAAAGTCCACTGCTGAACATAGGCCTCCTCTCATTTCTGAGAGGGTTTTAGAGCAAGGAAATGTCCGCCGCGCTCCCTCAATGTGTGTTGGCGAACTTCACATGCCTTCGAAATTTTCTCAGACATGCAGGTTTCCTCACGATGTTTTCCTTCACCACCAAGCACGTGGTAATAAGCACTTAAAATTGCGATTAACAATTTAATTGGTGCTGGCGGGGATCGAACCCGGGTCGCGTACTGTGAAATTTACAGCTAGCGCTAACCATCTGAGTTACCACGGCTTAATCATATACATACACAATATTTAAATAAAATAATACACACACATGAAAATAACAGAAAAAAAAGTAATTTAGTCAATAGAATAAACACTTACATCCATAGCCTTTGGTGTATTGAAGTAACACAAATGTACTATTGATAGATCCACTGTAGTCAAACGACCGTACACTAACTCGATGACTGCGTCTGTTGGTCTTATATACCACCAGTACGTAAAAATTCTAATCTAAAGTATTTCCGTAATGAGTTGATAATTACTTTATGCGTCAACCAGTTTATCTCACATTTCCGTTGTCTATCTCAACATTTCTTCGTATTGTGTTTTGTTTGGTGATCAATGACTCAAGTACGGTTTGTATAACACAAAAATGCAATTTAATATTTAGAAATCACTATAATTGACCATTCCTATGTTATTCATTGAGTAGATTGGTACTGTAATAATGTACTAATAGCAGTAATATCATGGATACACTAGATGTACAACAACATCTGAAAAAGATTCACCCCAGTCTAGAAAATAATGTTTATGCAGCTAATAGACTGCCTATGTATACCCACGTACCAACGTATATAATATGTAATTTGGATACAGATGATAAACCAGGGTCACATTGGGTAGCTTTATATATCGATACGAATGACGTCGGTCAATATTTTGATTCATATGGACGATCACCTGTACGATATCATCTAGAGTTTTTAAAAAGGAATTGTAAAAGATGGAACTGGAATGTTGATAGGATTCAGAATGAGTGGACTTCAGTTTGTGGCGAATATTGCTTAATGTATTTGCTATATAAATTTCAAGGATGTTCAATACATAGTTTTACGAGTATATTTACAAGGAACACATTGTACAACGATATTTTAGTGGATGAGATGTTTCGCTCCTATTTTATAGATAATAAGTAATAAGATTTTGTATTTTATAAATAAAAATTGTAACAAAATTATGTAATGTGTTTTATTGATGATTCAGATTAGCGTTGTATAATTAGGAACAAAGAAGTACAATACAATAGCACTGATATAGTCGACGCACACGCTGCAATGAAGGTGATTAATGAACAATAGAACAATAGAAATAGGAACAATGGGACGCTAATGACGGTGGAGGCCCTTACCGGATATCAATTAGATATTAGCTAATTGATCTACACATCTCCGGAACCGTGCATTCTACACAAAAATGGACCGCGGATTCGTGATCAAAGCATGCCAAAACCTTTTTTTTTTTTTTTAGGATCGGGTGTCGACGAACGTCGTTGAACCAAGTCTGACTCAGGTGGTCTAGAAGTGGTACAACTACACTACTTCCGATACTGCCATGCGTGGCTATTTTCTCAGGTTTGAAAATTTGTCGCTACAAAGAAGTGGCGGCCATTTTGTCCGATGGTCACCATTCTCATACTAGTATAATATTACAAATTTGAACGTTTATATTTTTTCATTCAATCATACTTTAAAAGTTTTTTGATGAAAGAGTTTAAGAGGTAGGTTTTATTACAATTTTAGGTAGTAACAGTAAATATCGAATAAAAAATGCAGAAAAATTAATAGAATAAATACTAAAATAGCTACATAGTGATGGGGTTTATTTTATAATGTTATCGTGCTGTGCCAATGATTATAAAAAAATATCCAATTGTTCCTACCGAACAACCATGTTGATAACTAACCGTATGAGAATAGCGTTCAGCATAAAATCGCCCTTATCATATTTGACTTAGGACTAATATATATTTTGAATTTAGGGTCTGTGCAAATTCGGCCTGTACGAGGTGTTCAAAGTGACTTACTCCGGCATGTTGGACGAAGAGACTGCATACACGTACCGTACTTTCGTGTACCTCGCCGCTTCCGCATCCGCAGAGTTCTTCGCCGATATCGCTCTGTCGCCTTTAGAAGCCGCCAAGGTGAGGCTGTTGACTAAAACTATATCTTGTTTAATATTGGCAGCAATGTACACATTTGCCATCCGTAATGATGATGGGTTTTAAACCAGCACATAGTTATTTGTCCTTTTATATAATTCTTTACCCTTTAGAATTATCCGTATACCTGTCTCTTTCTATTGTCATTAAGTGAAGAGAGATAGAGAATGAGTGAGGCCCATATTGAATAATTATTTCTAGAACACTAGTGTACTAATAATTGTAGTGGGTCTGGATGTTGCAATGGATTGTGCAATTTATCTATGTGAAACACGACCAAAAATACAGGGAATATTTCTTGTGTGAAGTAACTATTTTCTTAAAATATAAACTATTATAACACTAGTTGAGTCCGACGCAAATTATTTGTATAACAGAATTATAGTGCACGAGTGTGGGGCCAAAAATGGGTGCGCTATTTATTCCCTTACACTCTTAGTCCTAACGGACGGCAATCCGACACGACCACAATGAGATCAGGCGCAGGGCAACGACTTTGAAACACGTTAATAAGAGAATTTCTCGACAGAAAACCCAATACCTGATTTAACCCAACAATCCACTACACGTAAGTAAATCTTTTGTAGGCGACAAACGAACTTCTAAGTGAAGTTCGATCAGTATTATATGAGTCACTTTATTCGAAGATGTAGATGTTATATATATATGTATTTTATATTCATATATAAGTTTAACAGGTAGTCCTTTCATTGTTCGGGCAATAACTCGCACGCTTTTTCAGATTCTTAAATATAGATTAGAAAATCGATTTTAACTGCCGATTACTTCCTAACCCTACCCTACTTTGTTCCCGTCATCTTGCTTCATTTTTCAGAGATTATTTGTCAGTAAATAAACTCTTGATTCGGCAAAACCCTCTCGGGCTGGGACGGGTGGGAACTTTATCTATATCTTCGAATAAAGTGACTCATATAATACTGATCGAACTTCACTTAGAAGTTCGTTTGATCATGTATTATTATTTCGTCACATTATTCGAAGATATAGATGTTATATATATGTATTTTATATACATATATAAGTTTAACAGGTAGATGTTTAGAGATTAGTTTTGCCGAAACATATTCTACATTAAAGGTAAAATGAGACCAAATGTTATCAACCAATTTAGATTTAATAACAAAAAACATAATTAGTTTACAGCTCCTCAGAAAATTTATAATATGATAATTTTACATTGTGAAATTAATCTTTAATACACACTGCTCTTGCGAATTCGTTATTGTCTACTATTTGTCGATTGTAAAACCTAGCAAATATAATAGATGTTGATGTCCAACCCGCGGTTCTTCGGATTACATCGAGTGAGACTCCTGCGCTTCTAGCCGCGGATGTGGCAGCGTGTCTCGTACTGTGAGCGCTGAACGTCACCACATCCACTCCGCTTTCAGTCAGGACTTGTTTAACCCATCGCGCGATCGTCAGTAGTGAAGTTGTACCACTTCTGGACCACCTGAGTCAGAAGCGGTTCAACGACGTTCGTCGACACACGATCCTAAAAAAAAAAAAAAAAAAATTTGTGAATGTGATTCTGTTTACTTCAATTACTTCTGTGTACTCATTACATTCTATTTATAATCCTTTGCTAGACTATAAATATCGAACATTATTTGAAATTTTGGTATCAGTTGGTCTACGAACACTGAACTGTTACTTACTCTGCTATCTATTTTCTTCTTTACTATAAGGATGGAAAACTTCAGTGAAGTGTGCACCAGTGCTTTTTTCTCCACAATCATGGAAGAGAATACGGAACTATTCAATAGCGAATTAAATCAGGAGTTGTCTAAAGTTTGTGAAGAAATGGAGAGGGGTCAACTGTTCGATTCGTCATACGATGATGAGTTGTATCATCACTGTGCGATGGTTGAAACACAGTTTAAGTATGTAAAATAAACATTCATTTCGATCATAATTTACATATTGTCTTATACAGTTTTTAATAAATTTAAACATTTTAGCAGTCAACCACTACAACTTGGAAGAGGAACGAAGCGAACGTGCAGCAAAGAATCCAAGATCATCAAAAAACCAACAACGGAAGCAGAAGCGCATACCTCTGCAGGGAACAGTATCAGTAACGATGATCAAGTGGAATGTCCAACGTGCCATATATTTATCAAGAAACGGTATTTAGCTAATCATTTTAAAAGTAATGTTCATAAAAATAATCTTTTAAATTCACATAATTCTTTATCAAACGTTAGTGTTATTGAATCTGCTTTTGGAAATAGGATTTTAACTTATAAAATCAAGAGTAGAGTAGATCGTTCGACATGGGTAAATTTTGAAACTCCTGAACTATTTTTAAATTCTATTAAAGATGATATTTTATTTTTATTACAAGAGTGTATTCATCAACACATAATTTTTAAGGTAAACTTCATATTGCATGCTGATTTTGTTCAACAAACTAAAGATATTCATGATACGTTCGATTTTAAAACGCTTAACTATATTATTTGTCAAGGAGATGACTTAAATATTTTTCTTTCATCTTTAAATGATACAATTACTACTAAAATTAGTGCTTTCGAAAAAAAAGATAGTGGATGGAGTCTAAAAAACATAAAATCTATAGACGTGAATGTTAATAAATTTAACCCCCTACGCGGTACTTCATACATAGATCTTCCTCGTGACATAAAATTAAAAAAGGCTGTTATAAATGTAAAAAACAAGGATTATTTTTGTTTTAAATGGGCGTTACTCTCGGCGTTATATCCCGTAAACAAACACACCGATCGGGTATCATCGTACGTTAAACATGCAAATAAACTTAAATTTGATGGTATTTCCTTTCCGGTTAAAATTTCTGACATAGCAAAAGTAGAGAAATTAAATGATATTAGTATTAATGTTTTTGGGTTAGAATATAATAAAGAAAAACGATGTAATTCTATAGTAGGTCCATTATTTTTAACAAAGTGTCGTAAAGATAGACATATCAATTTATTATTTTTTTCCAAGAATACAAAAAATCATTATTGCTATATAAAAAAATTATCGCGGTTAGTTAGTAAACAAATTTCAAAAGACGGTCACATCATGTACATTTGTGAAGCATGTCTACTTCGTTTTCCATCTCAGGAAAGGTTAAATAACCATGAACAATACGATTGTGCCCACATTTGTACAGTATTACCAAACAGTGAAACTTTAAAAAAAAAGAATTGGTTTGGTCAACCTATTTCAAATGATAAAATTAAATTTGATAGTTATGAAAAAAAGTTAAAGATACCATTCGTAGTTTATGCTGATTTTGAAGCATTTTTAAAACCAATAGAATCATGTTCTAACGATCCTTCCAAACCTTTCACTCGTAATATTCAGAAACATGAAGTACATAGTTTTGGATATTATATAAAATGTTCATATGATGATAAATTATCAAAATATGTAACATATTGCGGACCCAACTGTGCACAAGTGTTTATGGAAAGTTTATCTAACAATCTAAAAGAAATAAATAGACTTCAAAAATATCCGCCACTTCCGCTAACAAATGAAGACAAAAACCAAATTTCAAATGCAACCATTTGTCATATTTGTGAAACTGAGTTGGCAAAACATTTTTATGATTTTGATTGGTACACTGGTAGTTTTATAGGTGTTGCTCATGAATCATGTTGTTCGAAGTTCAGAACACCTCGTTATATACCAATATTTTTACACAACCTTAGTCACTATGATGCTCATTTTATTGTTCACGCGTTAAACTTTTGTGATGGTGAAGTCGAAGTTATCCCTCAAAATAAAGAAAAATATATATCCTTTTCCAAAAAATTAAAAGTGAATAACCACGAAATTATATTGAGATTCTTAGATTCATTTAAGTTTTTATCGTGTAAATTAGAAGAATTGGCCAAAAATCTCAGTAATGATCAATTTCAAGAATTACGTAGAAATTACCCTAATGATGAAGATTTCTTTCGTTTAAAACGGAAAGGTGTTTATCCATATGAACTTATGACTAATTATGATAGTTTAAGTCTAACATCGCTCCCTGAACAAAAATGTTTTTATAGTTCACTCACAGATTCACATATTTCAAATGATGATTACAATCATGCTAAAGATGTTTGGGAACATTTTGGGTGTTGTAATATGCTAGATTATTCAAACCTGTATTTAAAAACAGACGTTTTACTTTTATCCGATGTATTTGAAAACTTTAGAAAGTTATGTATTAATACATATGATTTAGACCCTGTCCATTATTACACAGCACCCGGTTTAAGTTGGGATGCAATGTTAAAATATACAAAAATAGAATTAGAACTTTTAACAGATTATGAGAAAATTGCATTTATTAGATCAGGTATCAGAGGTGGTGTATCTCAATGTAGTAATCGTTATGCTAGAGCTAATAACAAATACATGGAGGATTATGATACAGGGAAACCAAATTCATATATCACATATTTTGATGCCAACAATTTATATGGTTGGGCTATGTCTCAATATCTTCCTACTGGTGGATTCGAATAGGTAAATCCAAATACAGAATTTAATGTGTCTAAGACATCAGACTTCGGTTTTATTTTAGAAGTTGATTTGGAATATCCAGATGAACTTCATGATTTACATTCGGACTTTCCTTTATGTCCAGAAAACATTTGTGTAGGCAATATTAATGAGAATAAACTAGTCCCAAATTTAAATAATAAAGATAAATATGTAATTCATTACAGAAATTTAAAGCAGTGCATAGAAATGGGGGTTAAATTAACTAAAATTCATAGAGTTTTAAAATTTAAACAGTCTCCCTGGTTGAAGATGTACATAGATCTAAACACAAAATTAAGAACTTTAGCAAAATCAGATTTCGAAAAAGATTTTTATAAATTAATGAATAATTCAGTCTTCGGTAAGACTATGGAGAATATTGAAAAAAGGGTTAACATAAAATTAGTTACGCACTGGGAGAACCAGGGTAAAGCTTTAGGTGCTCAAGATCT